TGTGACCCTGTACGGTGGCTGTGTCCCCATGTCACCCTGCCACCACCGTGACCCCGTGCAGTGGCCATGTCCCTGTGTCACCCTGCCATGGCCCTACTCTGTGGCCATGTCCCACCTCATCCCGATGCCATACTCTACCATGCCACCTCGCTGTCCCACGTGGTTGCCCTGCCAGCTGTCAGAGGTGCCCCTTGGTGGGCACATCCCCCCGGTCCAGGTCAGTGCTCACCTGCAGCATGTGTTGTGCAAAGGCTGTGTGAGGGCTCTCCCCTGCACTTGAACATTGGGTGTAGACCAAGAGCAGCACCTGACAATTCCCTGCAGCCTCTCCATGGCATTCCTGGCCTGTTGCTGCCGGCATAAAGTGGGGCTGCTCAGAGCAAGGACCTGAAGGATGAGTGGGATTCAAGGAGCCCCCTGTGCCCTGGGGACCAGTGCCACCCTGCTCTGGCACCCCTTTTGCAACCTCTCCTCAGGATCTTGCAGCATGCCCTGGGGCAGAGAATGGACTAGAGGCTCTTCTGCAGGAGGGGTGGTGACCCAGGGACTGAGCTGTGCCTGGCTACCCATCAGAAACCTCTGCCCTAAATCCCCCAGTGCCCAGACTGGTTTCCCCATCACCTGGCACCATGAGCCCACGAGGGACGTTGATGCCGAGAAAGCTGCAGCTCTTGGCTTTCCTTTCCCTCTTGGAGGCTGGGGCTGTGTCTTCCTGCTGCAGAGGGCAGCTGGATGTGTCTCCAGCCCCTTTGGAGCAGGACACTGTCAAGGCGGACACACTCCCCCACCCTGTGCTGGTGGCACCTGGGGACATCGCCCTGTGGGCTATGGGCTCTCCAAGCTCTTTCCCACCTTCCCTCTGTGTCCCTGGAGTATTGCAGAAGCTCTTAGTGCTAAGTTTGGGGACACATTTGTGACTGTGTCTCACCAGCCAGGACTTGGGGTGTTGCCACAGAGTATCAGTTGCTCCTTATTGCCTGTTTGGTTTGCAGCTCCCAGCCCTGGCACAGTCCCTGCCCTTCCTGCCTGCCGGCATCCCGTGGGAAGCTGCCTTTCCTGCCTCCCGGCGTCCTGTGGGAGGGTGTGGGGGATGGAATCGTGGCTTTATCACACGGTGTCACGGCGGGGCTGCTCCAACACCTCGACTCCATCCCCAAAAGCCAAAGACAGTGCTGGTGTGGGGATCCAGTTCCCAATCCCAGGGGGACACAAACAGCATCCTCAGACCCTCGTGGGGAAAAGCTGCTGTACCCAACCATCACGGCTGGGATTGGGAATGGGGAGCCTGCTCTGCTGCACCCCAAATCCCTTAGGATGGGAGGGGATGTGCTCAGAAGGTGCCTCCCTTGCAGGGGCCGACGTTCCTGGCTCCCCTGCCTGGGGACCCTCCTGGGGACCCTCCTCCTGGGAATGCTCCTCATCTACATCTCCGTGCCCTTCCTCATCCGCCTCTTCCCCAGCGTGCTCACCAAATTTGTCTACCTGAACTTCCGTGAGTACCCTGGGGCTGTCCCAGCCGGGAGAACCCTCACAGGGACTCAGCTGGGTGGGTGGGGAGCCCCCAGAACATGGGTGGGACCACACCCGCTGCCTGAGTGGCACCAGGACAGCACCCACCCGACTCCCCCTGGGCCGTGGGCTTGCAGAGGAGGCACTGAGAGACCTTTCCCTGTGTTTTGCAAGCTCTAATAATGTGGTGCTGCCGACCCTGTTTACTGCATGAAGTTACAACATGCCTGGGCACGCACAACATCAGCGGGGCTGGGAATCCGGGATAGGAGGACGTGGCAGAGGGCTGAGCTCGTCTACCCGAGCGTGGCCTTAAATAGTTTAAAAACCATAACGTGTTGATTTGGGGAAAAAAAAAAATAAAAGCATAAAAGCAACTGGCCATGAGGTGTGATGGCTGTGATTTCTCCGTCAGTGGCCTTCCCCTTCTTCGCGGACTTTCGGCGGCCGGAGCTGCTGGTGAACAACACCATCAGCCTGCACCTCACCACCGAGCCGGGCGTCACCGTTGGCATCTGGTGAGTGGGACATCCTCGGCGTCCTGCGTGGGCACAGCACTGTCCTGGCTCAGCCAGGTGGAATCCCCCCGGGGTGACCCTGCTGTGCCCCTCAGGCACACGGTGCCGGGCAGCAGAGCGGCCGAGGCGCGGGGCCAGGACCGGCGCTGGTACGAGGAGGCACTTGCTGATGCTCACCCCGTGATCATCTACCTGCACGGCAATGGAGGCACCAGGTGAGTGCCTATGGGTGCTGCTGCAGGGCCAGGACCAGGGGAGGATGGGTGCAGGGGCTGCTCTCGGGTGAGAACCAGCAAACTCGGTGCAGCAGCTGGCAGTGCTGCAGGGCTGGGGCTGCTGCGGTGGGTTCTGAACTGTCAGTCATAAAAAGTCCCTGAAAGATAAAGGGGATAAAAACTCAGCCACCCCAGAGCATCCAGCTCTCCCCTCCTGGGAAAAGGTCACCCTGGTTCCTCACCTGCACTGGTGCTGGAGGGGAGGG